TAAAGTTGTAGTAACTTGCGATGTGTTTAAAAATTCTTAATCACCACTAGAAAGTCGGTCATTTAGGTATGTAAGAAATAATTAAGTTTTTGCATGACAATTTATTAGTTTCTCAAATTTTATAAAACTTTACGTAATCTTTTTGTTTTTTTAATTAGGAATGATTTCGAAACTAATTAAGATTCGTTAATCTAGATTTTTTTTCTTAATTTTTATTCGACATTAATTGCACGTATTAAAACGCTTATCAACATGAATTTGACGAACATTTGACCCAATATTTTAGGCAGATCAGGGCATTAGGTGATATTTAAGATTTTGAAGCATACAAAAATCATACCTGAACGTAATATAGTGTAATAAAGCGTTGTAATGTGCCAAAAAATAAAATAAAATGTAAAAGTTTTGTGTGAGGAAGTGTTTATCAATGAACTATGACACGGGAGCAACAATAATACGATATGAATAATTATAAATTCTTACCGTATTGTTTCCTTGTGTTAGTGGTCTATATACTCGTAGTATAATTCTGATATCCTATACTTTTATAATTGCAACACTAGTAGTATTACACTCCGTCTTGTCTAACGTTTGTGAGGTTATTTAAGTAAAGAATATTGAGTATAACTGACTAATAACATGAAAATCACATTTTTTATTGGCTGTGATTTTATTTACGTACCCAATCGCTTAAACTAAATAAAAAAGTTAAATAAGTGTCAAACAAAAAAAAGCTTGACCTAATTTATACGTATAGCACAAAGATCCTGGTCATTGTCAGCAGAATATTGTTGATTTCATTGGGAAGAAACAAGAGTGATCCCCTGCCTTTACAAACTAATTAACGACATTCAGAAATGTGTGCCGCATAACAAATCTATATCAAAAGTTATTACATTCTTTAAATAATTGATGTTTTCATTTATATAAATAACATTACGTATACATTAATACAACCACATTTTTAAATGCAAATTGTGCGTTTATTTGCTTTAGATATATTTGTAAGGGTTTTAAATATCTAATTAGAATGAACAAATAATATGTAATAGAAAAATAAACATCCGTATGTGGGCGTGTAATATTCGTCTTGATTTGTAAAATGCGTCCATAAAAGTGAAAACGCGCTGTGAATCATCAATATAACTTTTGTTATGTAAGAAGTAATTTAGGAAGGACGCTCTAGATACAAGAAAATTGCTTATTGTCTCACGGTAATTGATAAATTGTAGTCTTTGCCGTCGGGCGCGCTTAACTATTCAGATGTATTTAGAGTCAGAGACCCTGTTTTTCGTCTAGACGCAGTAATTGCTACATTTATTACTGGATCTTTAGTAAAAAACTGGTATAAAAAAAATCAGTGGCGCTACAACCTCTTTAGGTCAAATTTCTGAATCTGTTTCATGATTATTTTTAAATCTAATAGGCAAGTAGATGATCAGCCTCCAGTGCCTGACACACGCCGCCGACTTTTTGGGTGTAAGACATGTCGGTTTCCTCACGATGTTTTCCTTCACCGTTCGAGCAAATGTTAAATACGCACATAGAAAGAAATTCCATTGGTGCACAGCCGGGGATCGAACTTACGACCTCAGATATGAGAGTCGTACGCTGAAGCCACTAGGCCAACACTGCTCGAAACTGGTATAATATGGCACAAAAATCTACCTCAAAACCACTTAACACATTTCATAAGATAAAAACGAATCATCGAAATTGACTCATGCGGTCACTGTTTATGTAACGTAACAGGCATTAAAATAAAGAACAACCAAATTGAGTATATTTATATAGTATTTTGGCATATATTGAAGTGATTTAAGAATGTCTCTCATAATTAAAAATGTTGTTAGTCTGACACAGTTTTTATTTCTCACCTCATCTTAATTTTCTTTGTCTCCTTGGTACTGTTACAAAATTTGTTTAGTTCCTTCAAGAAAGTATCGATCTAATAATTCTAAAATTCCTTAATAAAATAATGATCTGTTAGTATAGGTAATTATGCTTATTTATGTAATAATATTTTGTTTTACTGATAAGGTAAAGCAGTGTCTTATCGCTTAACAGTGATAAAACATATGTAAATATATTTTCAACAATTTTGTTTAAATCTTTTTATTTATATTAGGTAGAAACTCGGGAATTATAAGGTAAGGTACAAAAAGAGGAACCGTCATTTGTTTTTTTAATTATTAAATGCGTAGTTGATGAGTCTATGTAAGTAAATCTTTCCAATAATTTTTAGACTGTTTTATATATCAAAATAGAAAGTTTTCACGTCCCATTTCTGACGTAGTTTAAGAAAATATATATTTTGAATTTCTATAAATTGGTAGAATTTGAAAAACTTCTACCAATCAAAGAAACTGACTAGACTTGTTATAATGAATTGCACTCATGGGTTACATTTCTCTAGAGCGTAAAGTTAACGGCGATGTTGTTATATCACCACTGATTATCATAAATGCCTCGTTTAGTTATAACAACTTGTAAATTTTGACAAGTATCTTGTAATTAAACATAGCACGTGATTAAAGATTACATTTATAGTATGAAGGCGTATGAATTATAGTGCATTTAAAGTGTTCCACACATAACAATTTTGTTTTCGCATTCCTTCAGGAATGAAAATTTATTGACAGGCAGCATCCACTTGTGGGTCAATGGCCGACTAACATAAAATATGTTTGTCTGTGACATCGGATGTGTGAAAGTTAATATGTACTATTAAATGAGTAATTTTAATTGGTTACTGATACTGAACGGCAAACTATAACTATAGAGAGTGGTCTAAGAATATCGTTTCGGAGACAGATTTTCAGTCACGGGCCAATAGAATAAGTAATTTTGAGTTATTAATTACAAATATACATAATAAAAAGTGACATCCAATAGCGTTGACAATATCACGATTTAAAAGTTTTCTAAACCATCTTCGGGCGCATAAAATCGGAATATTCTTAGCAACTAAAGAAGAAACACACGTTAGTGCAAAGCAATTTACCGTTAAACATTCCTAAATTTCCATAAACATCGGTTTAAAGTTTAAACCAATCATAGTTTGGTGCAAATAGCGGTAATTAGCTATAAAAAACCTATCTATGAATTTAAATGTGAACTTCTAGCTTAAACTATTTCTAACTGTTACTGTACCACAAGTTTGACTATGTTTAACACCCGGTTAAGGTTGCGACTCACTTTTGAGCCTTCTGGCAATGTGAATGCGTGTGTACTTAATATTAGATGAGCCTCCTGCCCGTTTGTCCAATATATTATTAATAAAAAAATAAAAATGCCGACAATTCTGCAAAAATTACAGTACTCAAGAAGCAATAATGCGTAATAAAATGATATAATTTAGTTTAGTGTACCACTGAAATATGTAAATAAATAAAACTTTCATGGAAATTACTTAAAATTGCAGGTGCACCACGATCTCTTTGTAATTGCTGTTGCAACGAATGCACGAATTTGGAAATTGACCCTAAACAATAGTGTTATATCATCAACTTCGTTTATTCAACAATGACCTCATGTTACGGTTTTTGACTGGAATACTTAATGATCGTTTCACGCTTTTCCGAACCATTTTTTTTACTTAATTGTAATAAAGTGACCTAATTTTGTACCTTGTGTGCTTCATCAAGATTTGCTTAGTTATAACAATTGGTTCATGAAGAAACATACGATTTATTACGTGAACTAGAATGTGCCGTGCTTACAATATTTAAAGAAACAAAAATCACTATCCGCAATACCACAAGTTCTATAACTTTTGTTTTTTTACTTTATATCTATAACAGTCGTGAAGTACAACAAAATAACTAGTAATATATTACATAAGACATACTTGTAAGTCTGTCATGTTAATAGAAATAGCTGTGTTGTTTTTTAGGCGTAACGCGGCTTTCTTATATGTGATACGATCTTTTCAATGAAAATGAACTTGATCACACACACACATCCATTTAAAATTATACATGTGATCATGAAATCAAAAAATAAAGCTAATATTTAATAGTTTCACTGTACAACCGTGGTGAAATGTAGAAAACCTAATTTTTGCAAGAAGGAATGTTATTATTACAATTTTATTTAAGATACATTTATTATGGATACAATTTGTATGTGTTTATGTTGATAAAGTAATAATACTATGGTTCTTCCTACAATCAATGACTTACAGTATTGTAAGTTGAAGGTATACCTTTAATATAATTTTGGATATATTAGAGAGTTTCCGTTAGGAGGAAGTTCCTCAAAGGTTAAATGGAAAGCAGGAAGGTACGGACTACGATGTTACTTTCGTAGTGATAGGCCGAACTTAAAGGTATAATAATTGTAGTATTTGATAAAATATTAGTATTAACATTTTGATTTGTGAGCTTTTTACTAATAAGAATAAAATTCAAAATATGTTTGACATTTCAAAATTGAAATTTAAGTTTTTTTAATCTACTTAAAAATCTGAAGGAGAAGGATATATATTTAGTTCATTTCGTTAACTGATTTCGATCGGAGAAACGTAAGTTAGATGTTCCACCAAGTTCTAACTTAATTTAGTATTCTGTGTTAAATAAACATAAAATAAAAGAAAAATAACAAAGAAACAAATCTCCTTAGGTGAAAACATGACAGCAAGAGTACAGAAAATATCAATTTCAACTTGAACCGATACGAACCGATTAAATCTCACTAACTTCCGTTAACATCTCCGTAAAGTCTTTATTAACTTAACTGGTAAGGTCATTACCGTGCAGCACACGTTTTATGAAGTCAATATAGTCAAAGGAAAGTGCATCTTGCTAATTCCACACATGAGTGTTCAAAGAAAAGTGATATTGACGTATTTAAGATCAGAGACATTGAGCAAATATTTATTTTTATTTTGTTTTTTATATAAATGTTTTATTTCTTTGTAGTTATAGCCGCTTCTTCTAATACAAGTTAACTTAGATTGTCGCGTACCAATAAATGCATCAAAGCGTGCATATGACGTAATGCTTCCGCTGCGATTACCTCATTGTTGGGCTCGGAAGCCCGATGCTCCCATTCTTTCAGGCAGTTCAGTGAAAGGGTCCTCCGATACTTTTACCCTCCGTCGGGCTCAGCGGGTGCGAGCCGCTCGCTCTCTTATAAATTCGGTGAAATTCCTACGACACTACATTACAAATTCGGCGGCTGTGGCAGACAGCCGTGTTAGTTTTTGTTAGTGATAGATTATTACTAGTATAGTGGTTTAGATATAACGTGTTGCGCGTTCTAATAAGCATTCAATATGAAATTCACGGTGAGTGTGAGCTTTGTGATGGATAGTTTAAAAGTGGACTGTTTGGATTATCAATTTGTGGATTAAGATAAAACGTACAAAACATTTAAAGATGTTATTTCTTTGGCCTTTAAATTGGCTAAAAATACTTTATTTATAACAGGTCTTTGTTAATGATAGCTTTACATATGTAAACTGTAACCAATGGTCGCAAATAAGCATATCGATTGTACCTGCATAGATTTATTTCAAAGTAAAAGTTGTAAAAGTGAAATGAAATTTATAATAGCAGCTATAATCTTGATTACTACGATGCGGGTTATTTTTATGTGAAGTAGGCAAACCTGTTTGGGATTCCCGCCATTTTACTTATTAGCATTATCGAAAGTGAAACTAAGTACAATGTTGCGATGTTGGGCTGAAATTTAACATAAATTTTTCTGTTCGCAGGTCGCATTCATATTATGTATATCAACGACATTGGCTATAAAAGCGAAAGTTGACGATCCTAAGGATAAGAGAGAGGCTGCGATTGGCTATGGATCATCAGGCCACTCAAGCCAGGCATACAACTTCCAGTCGCCTGCACAAGGACACGAAGATGCAAACTCAGCTATCAGCATCGGCGCTGGTTATAGTGTAGGAGGTGGCAAGCCCTCTTACAGTTTTGCAAATCAAATATCTGGTGCTGCCTACCAAGTGCCATCTGAAGGGTCACCAGCAAGTGGTCACGGTGCTCTTCAACTGGCCCCAATTACACTACAATCATCTCACCCCGGTCTCGTTTCCAACGATCTCTCGCAGCTGATGAGCCAACTTTCCCATGGATTAAACTCTGGAGCGCTCACACTGTCGCCCGGTAGTCAAGGAGTGTATCAGTTTGGCGTTCAGAACGCACATGGAGGGCAAGAGATTGCTGTTCCTCAATTCGCTTATAGCTCACCAAACTCGCAACAATATACTTTAGGAGAAGCAGCTCAACCCGTAGTCCCATCATATGCTGCTGGCTCTAAGGGATTAGGTTCTTACAGTTCGACTGGACCAGTTCTATTCTCTCCGGATCAAGGCAATCAAGCACAAAATTACGCCTCTCAAAGCGGCGGTCATTCTATCAATGAAGGAGCATCTATCTCTTACGGAGAGCCTGCTCAGTCACTGTCCGGTTATTCATTAGGTAATTCAGGACAATCCTTCGGTGGATCACTAAACGCTTACGCTGGAAATTATGCTGCTCCAGGAAAATCATCTTTTAAACCCTCTGCATTCCTGGGTTCAGTTCAGAGTGAGGGAGGTCATTCCTTATCCGGATCGTATGCTGCACCGTCTTTTGGTAATTATCATGCTGGTGGTTTGTCCTTAGGGGCTGGTGGTCATGGTCATGGATTTGGTTCATTGGCTGGATTCAGCGGTGGTTCACCTAAATATATCTCGCAAACGTATTTACCTTCTAAATCTGCCGATGGCGTAGGTTCCTTAGATTCAATTGCATCAACTTTCTCGGCTAGCGGTCAATTGGGCCACGGTGCTCATAGTTTTCCTTCATCTGGTTACAGCCCCAGCAATGGCCATAGCGCTTTATCGCAAACCCCTCAATACTATGTAACTTCATCAAAGCATAGCCCTGGAGCTAGCTTTGGAGCCGGAAGCGTTTCATACAAAAGCCCAAGTTCTGGTCATAGTTCATTGAATTCTTACTCATCTGGGCCGAAATACAGCTTTGGTGGACAGAGCACACGTTATTTACCACCTAAAGACTCTCATGGCGCTTACAGCGAAACGAATTACAACACGATCAAATACAGCGAAGAACTAAAACCCCGTATTCATTAAGGTAATCGTAGAAAGATTGATTGCTGTAAATAGAGGCTTGATTACGTGTGGATTATGTATGTTTACGAAAACGTGAGTGAACGAAAGCGTTAAGTTGCTGTAGGTGTTGTTTATTTGCGTATGTTCCGCTAATTTATCAGATGAACGCTTCAATTGTTGCCGTCGAGCTGATCAAAATGCTTTCTATTGAAGATACTATTGTAAATCAACTATAATATTATAAATTGCACAATATATGTTGCTATATACGCTAACTAGAAGCGGAACAGTGTAGCGTTAGTGTGAATGCGCAGCGAATATCTGTAAATAAAAATGTATACGATAAGGTAGACTATTTATTAATAATAGCTATTATAAAATTGTTGATTGTTAAATAAAAACCATTGTTGAAAAACTGTATTTTATTCCCACTATCTTTACGGCCACCAAAGAACAACTCTCTTGTTTTATCAATAATTTAACGGGTACGTTCTTTTGTAAACACTTAACCAAAGCTCAATCTACAAAAGGAGACTCTGTATTATAGAGCTCTCTATTTCTCCGGGGTTTTGAACCTGCGATATGTCGAATGGAACTGAGCTACAGCGGTTAGATTAGATTATATTACAAAGTAGGCGCGTAGATGGGAAAGGTGATATTGTTGCTTGAATAATCGACACGTGGCTAGTTTCACTTATAGGAAAGTAGGGAAATTGAAACTGCACATTATCTTTGAGTAGTTGCCAAGATTCTATACTGTCTCGAATATTTAATTGCTTTATTAATTCAAGATCTTATGTAACTTCAAAAGTAAATCAATGTCAAATTCAATAGCTTTAAAACAATAATAACGTCAAGTAAGATTAAACGACGTTACTAAAAGAACAAATAAATTTTTTCCTACGGTTAAAAATTATCAACTGTATTAGCAAATATATTATGTAAATAGCTATGTAACATTGTAAATACACAAACAATGATGTTCTTTCACGGTCTAAGTAATATTTGGCGCTTGCAGTGGCAAACTGCGTTCACTTCCGAATTCCCATCTCACTTATGTAAGAGATCTTGTTTTCATATTTCGATTGGTAGTGATTTATATTACTTAAAGTAAATAGCCATATATATATATATATGTTTCATTTCTGATAATCTATCGTTAAACTTCTTACGGTAAAAGGTTGATTCTTATTTTGTTTGTATCGATGTAGGGCATCTACTCAATAAAGATATTACATCGTGTTTAAAAGAACAAGTGAAGACATACCGTAGTTACGTTTTTATATAGATCTTTGGTATTATGTAACGCCGAAGGCTTATGGATATAACATTTATTTGGAATCATTTATTAAGTTTTTTAATGTAAGTATCTAATCACAAACACAATGATTGTGCCCGGAATTAAACTCAGCCAGTAGTATTCTACTGAAATCGGAGTAGTAATATTAAGTAGTGCTATTAATATTTATAATTATTATCATTATTTCCTGCTAAGGTGAATCTACCTGAAATCACATGGTAGAATATTAAGTAGAAAATCGAATCAAATTATTTCAACAAGGTCGCTTGGAACTTGGCTTTAAAAATTGGACATTTGTGGAAGATTGCCAAAAGAAGAGTTTTAAATACGAAGAGTGTATTGATTGATCAATGATTCAGTTATTAGTTTATTTGTCTTTGGTTGTACCAAAAGGTATCTACATATATTTCGGGTAAATTATTAAACTATTCAAATTAAAACATTGTAAGTGTAATGTTAATTTACGGACCGAAGACACGCAACATAAAAAATCATCAGTAACTAAACGAACTAAATAATTCACATTGTACTGTTTTACCCTAAATTAAACAATGCCTTAACAATCATCACACAATTTTAAGCAACCTCTCAAGTTTGAAAACTGGACCACCAAAGCAAAAGACAGACAGATGTGGAGCAAAATGGAGGAGGCCTTTACCCGTAGAGGGGTCCATAACGATTTAATGATACTTTATAATGATTTATAAAAATGAATTTTGTTTTTGATTCTTATTTATTTATTTATCATTTCAAACTTATATACATTGAAATTATTAATTACGATTGGAATATAATTTAAAGATTATAAATAATAATATTGTATTTTTAATGCATGCACATATTATGTAATAATTAATCATATGATATACTTGTTTAATATGTTATTCATTATGGAAATAAAGAGGCTATAATAATAATAATAATTTTCTTTACAGCTTAACCTGACAAAATCGCTAAATTGAGACTATATGAATAAATGTTTATAACCAATTGAACATTGCCTGAAGACATCTTTTTCTATCTTGATGGAGTCATCCTAACTAAATAAATACTGTTATTATAATATTTTTAAATGGCTTATTATTTACACATTATAAATTTAAAAATACCTATGTTTTTTTAAACAACAAAATGCAGAGGAGAATAATACAATTCATGAACACACATAGTGAGGAAAAATTTAATTATAATAAATATCTGCTATATTATATTGGGGGATTATGTTTTTGTTAGACATGCATAAATAATTAATTGAATATTATTGAACAATGTGCAATTATTTGTAGGTACACTGAAATCTTCAATGAATCAAAGTCAATAATCTATAGTAAATTATAAACTCAATATCTACGAAGTCGGTAGTCGGAAGGGCATTGCCGTCTTGTTTCTCATCTCCGTCTATATTTTAATAATTTATTTATAATCACACTCTAAACTCAAAATACCCCAAAATATCGTAAATATAAAAATTATATATTTTTTTCTATATTAGCCATAGTAGATAAATCTTATTATTTTAACTTTATTAACAAGTTTTAATACAAATATTGAATTTTATAGGTTCTAAACTATTATTTGAACATTTCTATACAAAAAACTAGAGTATTTACTGAATAAATTATTTTACTTTAATTTAAAAGTGTCGTAATTTTAATAAAGTACTTTAATATTAATTGATGTAAAAGATACATCTATCGGCTTTAAAGGTTTTAGTAACGTAATTAATCATTCTACTAAAATAATATTAAGTTCTGTATATACCTATGTAGTATTTTTTATTAATACTTCACCTGTCGTATGTTATCAGTACTATTATCGACATATCTTATTTATAAGCATGAAGTTATAGTTGTCAGGTCAAAGATGGCGCGATTATAAGTTACATGTTGTATACAAAAATACGAATCTAATGAAAATGAAAGTTTGTAAATCGTAACTATAAAAAAAACCAATAGCGCTACAGCCTTTTAGTTCTGGGTTTCAGATTTCTGTATTTCTATTCGTAATAATTTCATGACTAATCTCAGATAAAATTAATTGTAGTTTACTAATAGAAAATTGGACTTCCATGCTTCTGCTTCCAACGAACTATTCAAAAAACTCATTTTTATATCGAGCGGCCCGGATATACAACGATTAAAAGGAGTATTAAGAATATCCAGAGCGCTAAATTACCTGCATCATGAGCACACCCCACATACATACTCTCACTTTCTCACTATCGCAACACACACAACACACCCACATTTGGTATAGTAATAACTATTCTAAGTTAAATGTATTTAATAATTTTTATTGATATTTCGTAAATGTTTAAACCTTTTTGTATATTGTCTCCCATATTTGGCTATATCTTTAGTATAATTGATTTTTGTTATAAACTATTTAAGTTAGCTGTAGAAGTACGACATAATAGCCTTCTGTGCCAGAGCATTTAAGATTTTACTTAGATCCAATACTTGTTTTTTAGTTTTTTTTAACTCACAAATCTTGTATCGTGATATGATTAGCAGTATTGGTTCCAACATATTGCTTGATTTTCTTGAATGGCGTATTTGCTTACAATAATAATCATTTCATATTTTGTCTAATTTCATAAAGTATAGTACAATTTAATCATTAACACAAATATCACTTACAAGTAAAAATACTTTTGAATTAGAACTAATTATTAACCACAAAATTAGTAGTTCTGTATTAATGATCACTTCGCACATTCAATGAACGCACATCTAAGTTCGAGCATCGTGGAATCTCACGTTTTCGCCATTCTCAGACAATTTTATAGCTTCCTGACATATAATAACTATCATGTACATTTAAAACAAATTAAGTTCATAATACTATATACTAATAGGATATGTTAGGATAAGTCATAAAATTAGTAAAGTATTCCAACGCGATTTCTAATCTCACTTAATTGCTGAAAGCGATATAGCGTTTATACACTAATTTGAATTAAGACTAGCGAATATTTATGGTATTATAAGACCATAGTGTGATTTAAAATGTCTGATATATCGATTGGGAGGATTTCTAGGATTCACACCCAACATCAACTGTTCTAATCCATTTACAATGAAGACATTCTACATTTATGAGCTAACTGAAAATGCCTGTAGTGTTAAAAGCAATATACTCTTGAAATTTCCGTAATAATACATTTTCTCTTTTTTAGTTGTCTTGCGAAATCAACGATGCAATAGATAAGTATAAAGATCCTCTACTATGTAAGCAAATGCATGGGAAGCTTATTTAATAGTTTGGTAAATACCAACTGCAAGCTACTAATATTAGACTAAAGTCTAATTATCTGTAATATTCCCAGCGACGTAACTTACGAGTATTGAAAAATATGTTGTGACTCGTAACTATTGGACGTATTGCTCGTTTCCGTACGGTTCAGGAAGTGGCTAGAACTGGATCTTACGGGGCAGGACAAAGACCTATGAGCGGTCACTTCCTCCAGTACTGCCCCTTGATACATAACTTGTACCTAACCGCTCATATAAATGCGTGAACTTGATATTTGCTTACACTTTTCCGAGCACCATTGCATAGGACACTTTCCTTCAGTGTAAATTGGTTTTCAAAGAAAAATTAATCATGGCGAGAAGGGAAATTTTCGTAAGTACTTCGTTTCATTAGCATCACCCGTTGCAAAATGATTTGTGTACGGCCTCGCAACTAACGAACGATGTAACAAGGGGCTGATTGATCGACTTGAATGTACCTTTTGAAGTGTTATGACGAATCATTTTATTTCAGATCTGCATCGCTTTTGCTGCGCTGGTATTGGCCAACGAGGTCGAAGACGCAGAGCAAAAGAAGAGAGGCGCTGGTAAAGCGAACGTCCTAAATTCTATTCCAACGGGAGCGCAAAAGCCCGAATACACGTATAGCATTTATCCCCAAAACCCTCAACCGGCATATCAAAACCAAGCTTCTAACACGTTCTATCCTAATCAGCCAAGTCAGTATTACACTAATTCCGAGGCCTCTCAACCGCATCAAGCAACTGTTCCACAGACATCACAATTTGTGCCGATAAACTTCGTACCAAATGGTGGTTATCAACAGAAGTATATCGTTCAACAAAAGCCGGGTAATGTAGTAACTGTCCTCCAACCTACCCCTTATCCTGCTCAAGCAATTCTGCAATATCCTCAAGCAATGCTCGCGAATCCCTCAAATCACATCTCTCCGCATGCCCCGATCTTTAACACCCCACACGGTCACTTCAACTTTCCTCAATATCCGTTGCCTTCATTTGGGAACCCGTTTTTAGGTCATCCGTCTATGTTAGTCTTTCCTCAAATCGGCCAATATAGTAATCTAGGATTGACAAGTCCATCTCATGGAGTCTTTTACCAGCCCCAAGCGAAACCAAATTATTCAACTCAGCCAGCAACTGGCGGTTCGCCGAATGAGTACGAAAAATTGAATTCACATCAATCCGCTGCGCCTAAAGAAGACAGTGACGTCCAAACCGATTATATTGCTTCTGACTCCAATAATGTATTTAAAAACTCATATAATACGCGCAATACATATACCAAAATATAATAAATGCTTAATTTCACTTAATGGAAGATTGTTAATCAGTACTATTTATTAATGCATGTTAATTTAAGTTCTAACAAGTTGTTATTTATTAATAAATATTTTGTTGACCCTTAGTTATTTTTTTATTTTAATCATTTACCGTAAAGATTGTCAAAAGAAGTTATATACCGCAATTAAAATAATAACCGTACTTGTTTTCGTTAATAAAGTTTTATGAATTGTTATTAACAACAATTAAAAACGAAAGCCACATTTGCAAATGTTAAGTATACAGTAATTAAATGTTAACACCCAAATGAAGGAATAGTATTTTATGAAATACAATCATCAACATGGTAAAGATGTTGTATTAAATTTACAAGACGTTTAAAAATTGAGGTTAAGAATACCCATTGCCCATTCACTAGTCCAATGGAATTTAAAAGCTAATTGGATCTTTTGCTTGGATCTAGTTTGTTTTAAATATGGCGTAATTTAAATATAATTGCATCAATAAAATAAGATCGTCATCGTCGTCGTTGGTTCAGATCAACAACTTATTTTAAGCCTGACCAGTAAAGGTTTAAAACGGAAACGTCAAGGCAGAATACAAAATAACTTAACGTCCGTCGTTCCACAACTGAGCGTTTCTTAAGGCAATTTCGCGTACCACCACTATGTGGAACCAGCTGCCTACTGAAGTATTTCCTCACCACTTCGACTTAGGGGCCTTCAAGAAAAGAGCGTACCAATTCTTAAAAGGCCGGCAGCGCGCTTGCGAGCCTTCTGGCAGTGCGAGTCTCCATGGGCGGCGGTATCCCTTAACATTAGGTGAACCTCCTGCCCGTCTGCCTCCTGTAACATAAGAAAGCAGTTTTTTAGCGATTGAGTTAAGCTAAGATTATTATTAATGACTAAAAACCCAGTATAGTCGTATATGCGTATAAGATTAGACGAACATTTTCATATTTAAAGCAGCAATAAAAAAGATATATTTTGACAAGAATATATATGATTGTTATAATTTATATAATGGACGTGTGAAAAAAGTTATGTCGTAACGTCAACACGTGGTTATCGAGCAGTGAAAGGGTTTGCGCGAGCCACTAATTGCTTGCGTATTATTTGTATCATTCTTTAAATGCGCAATCGTTATACAGATGATGTTATCAAAATTTACAATAGAAAATATATTATTTGTGCTGCTTTAATTTTGTGTTTTAGTCTTACTTATGTTATAATTCTTCTATAAACGTTACAGGTTTCACTCTAAGAATGGCTTTTGTATTGAGTAGTCAATTTATTATTCGATCTAGTGAGTTCGCAGCTCGTTTTTAATATATTTAACTTATAATGATTACCTATACTTCAATAATGGAATATGTCTTAGAAGTAAATGAGGACTAAAAAATTAAAAAAAAAAATGTTAACCATACATGATAAGAAAAATGATAACAAAATATACAAAATGATTTACGCAGTATGTGCGAGTCCGAGACTTTCTTTACTCGAAAGCTTCACCCAGACAATATTATCTAATAATTAGCCAATCATTCAAAGGAAATCCTTTACAATGCACCATGAAGCACTTCTGGGTCAATCAAATTCCCATAAATATTGACAAACATCCTGTGTTTCAACCAATCGCTCATCTGCCTACAATCTTAATTAAGTAGTAGGTTGTGATTAATGTATAAAGTTTTATATGAAATATCGTGACTCGCAGTAGGCCCAGTTAAAGAAATTAATCGGTGACTGCACTTTACATTTTTAGTACATCGTTGCTCTGTTTGACCGTGTATGTGATGTAACTACAAAATGTTTAATAGCGATTACAATTTATGTTCACCATATAAAACGAAAAGAGTGTCTACATTTAATCGTCCAGTAAGTATTAAGTTTATGTTTAATGCTAGTATTATGAATATCTAAAAAACAAAATAAATACACTACGGAATTTAATTCTAGATTAGTGACGGCTTATTTAAGGAAACTTAGGGCCGTACACCTTTAACGTCCAATAGGAACTATGGCAAACTTATTTTAATCTAAATTACGTATTTCTTGCATACTGGTGTGTTTATTTTTTATTTTTATAATAGCAGCCAACCCATTTTAGTGGGTGCGTTACCGGCCTATATTTATTTTAATTCATATTATAATTAGTAATATACAAGACAATTTTTACGAATAAAAAATAATTTGTCGTCTATACAAAATGTTTAATTTTCCATTTTCATTCAACGCCAAGCATCATCGAGGATTATTTAAGTTTAAAGATAGTCCATTGAAATGTTACATTTGCTGAACATAGAGGACGCAATTATATTGTAGTGGTCAATACAAGCTAAAACCCAAGTTTGTGGGGTTAGGGCCTAGTCTGGTTTACTTTTATGATCTCTCGTTTATTTTAAACAGATTTTCGAAATTTTTTGTTCGATTCCAAAAAAAATCAATTTTAAACTATATTTCAATGGACTAAGAGGGTTTCTCTTAAAATGATTTGCCAATTTAATTGATAAGTGACAAGCCGTCACCTAACTGCTTATTATCTGTGACTTAGTTTAAATCTATTATCCATTAACCTTTTAGTCTTGAACTTTATGGGATGTCATAGATTACAGCAAGATAGTAAACGAAATTCTATGCAATTTAGACTAACAAAATTTAACTTAATATATATAATAAAGATTATTATATTTATTATTGCGGCACTGTTTTTGACTATCTAATCACTATAATCGCACAGTCGGATTGAATTATTTGATTCATGGGAAAACAATTATTGTTTCCTGTTGGTTTATTCATAAAATAAAAAAAATAAAATAAAATATGTTTATTATGGAACATAAGATACATGTATCACTTATTCCACGTCATTAAATTTGAAGGCATCCCTACTCATCGGCAAAGAAGACAGAGGGTGTAGGCCGAGAGAAAAAGCCGGCGTAAAAAACTCTCGGTACTCTTTTAAAACAGCAAATCATCAAACAACACTTATTTAAAACAAATATCGCAAATTGATTAGAAGTAGCCTGTCTAGCACTAGTCCCAGGCCCTTTTATCAACTAGATAATCGTTGACTTTATAGTAAGCCTTTTTTACACAGCTTTTCTTTAATACATTTCTTAAATTTATTGAAAGGCAGTGATAAAAGAGCCTCTGGGATTTTATTAAAGAAGAGTATCCCTTTCCCCAAAAAAGAATTACTAACTTTAGATAGTCTAGTACGGGGAAATTGCAGCCTGCGTTTGTTCCGTGTATTAACATTGTGCGTATGTTCTATTCTAGTAAACTTATCACTATTTTTGTATACATACATAATATTTTCATAAATATATTGCCAGGGAAAGGTAAGTATATTAATTTCCTTGAATTTATCTCTAAGAGATTCCCTACATTTTAAATTATAGATTGCATGAATAGCCCTCTTCTGCAGGATGAAAATAGTTTCGACATTTGCAGCATGACCCCATAATAATAAGCCATAAGTCATTAAGCTATGAAAGTAACTAAAATAAACAAGTCTAGCTGTATCGACATCAGTTAGTGAGCGAATTTTTTTAACCGCGTAGGCTGCAGAACTAAGTCTCTTCGCCAATCCGTTAATATGAGGGGACCACTGAAGTTTTGAATCCATGGTGATTCCGAGAAAGGTTTATTCATAAGGTTTTTGGTTAAATCTACGTCAATTTAGAATTTAAAAATTCCTTTGGGTGGGTTATCAAACACTTAGCGCCAAACAGCTGAGTCGTTTATGTGAACTTCAATTGCTCAGTATGTATTGTGTAAAATCACCTCTTACTCTTTAAATCACTAAAATGGCATACATTACTCGAAATAATGTACAACAAAAAACCTTTTACGGCACTCAGTCTAAATTATAGAGAACCACAAAAAGTTTGTGTTTCATTTAGATCAATGTATAATGTAAGGGATATTCAATGGAAAGTGAGATCGTATAGAATATCGGGCAATCCACTTAGTTGGCGTAGAAAGTGACGCGGTCAGCTATAAGTACTATGTTAGGGCGGAGTCGTTATCCTGTGATATAATTTATTCACACAGCCACAATATGGTCCAATCAACAGAGAATTTTCTAAAATAGTAGATAGGTAAAGTCCCGAACTGCCCATTTGCAGACAGTCTCGATTTCGGTGATCGCCTTCGTAGTTCAAAGAGATTTTTAAGAATTAAGAATAATTTTTAATTTATTTATTGAACAAATAAAGTCGGGCAATGCACTTAGTGCCAAAGGCTGGTAACTGACAAATGCGATACCGAAATCAGCAAACTTTAGACCATAGACTAAAATGAAAGATAGAAAAAAATTCAGTCAAGTAAGGACAATAGTAATTTTTACATTACAAAATATAAACAAAAACACACATTAAAAAAGGAAGTAGATGTAAGACGTTAATAGCAAAACTAAGTAAAAAATAAAAACACTAGTTACAATCTACACTTTACCAATATTCAACCAGTTGAAGCTCAGCAGTGAAAACAGCAGAAGCTCAAGTCTTTAGATTTAAGAAAACACTACAATTACTAAATAGAAAATACTATCTAAAGTTTTCTGCTCCCAACGTGGCATGAGAGATATTTCAAAATGATCCGGCAATCAACGCTATACGTTCAGTGCACTAACCACTAAACCACAGCGGTAAAAAAGCTAGCAAATATAAATAATTATCCGACTTGTCAAAACACAATACCATCTCTGTATAGAATTTCGAAATCACTTGATCTAATAACGGTAAATGGTGTCGAGTAACCTGCAATTCAACTGACAAAAATTGAGCAAATAATAACACTTATTGGTGATGAGCTTTTGGACTCATTTCAAAGCACAATGGTTACATAAAGACTTAAGTGTATGATAATAATTTTTTAGATTATTGTGTCGACAGTTTGATATCAATTCATTTTTATATTTTTCAATGTTTTGATTTTTTTAGGCGTTTTGATCTTTGAAATTGCTTTTATATATGTTTCATAAATCTACACTATTGCAAAATTAATAATTATTTATCCAACGTTAACGGGGCACTGTGCTTGCTATGTACTTTTAAAATGAAAATAAACGTTATTTTTGAAATTATTAAATAACAAATTATGTCGCCATTAAAAAGTAAATTAAGTACTGTTTAGTTTATTTTTTTTAAGGTCAGTGCCTAGCAAAAGCACTTGATGACGTCTTGGGTTTGATCTTCACGAAAGAACATTTATCGTATACTTGATTTAAAAGACGCAGAAGCGCCTGCCCAACCTCCAATTGAGATTTGAATTAAAGACCGGATTTTTTACTAAGCATAGCTAAAATAGATTTGATTAATTCTTCAATTTCGTGTACTTGCGTTTTGGTAGGAACATTGTATTCTATATCATAGAATACGGAGGCATAAAATGAACAATGTTTATATTTCAATCACGATAAACTTTTTAGCCCTATATTTTTCCTCGTAGTATCATATTACTAAATTAATCCGATATTTGCTTTCGCTCTCCGTAAGTGCGTATTGTATGACGCTACGCCTTTCGTGGATATGTAGACTAGTTGTATTTAACAAACTACCACATGATACGGCAACCATTTAGGTACCAAACGGAGAGAAGGTTGTACGTTTTGCCTGTTTTTTTCAAGTAAATATTTTTTATTATAAAGTGTTGTATTATGTAATCGATTAGTTACAATCAATTATGTTAACTAATTTGATATCTACATGTTATGACCTATTAACATTAAAATGAACTGAAATTAATTGAATTTCTGAAAATAAAAATAAAATCGTCCTACTTCTTTGCAATGATTAGGAGAGAGTAAAACAGTTAACCACTGGTTTGTTTCAATTATAGGATTCGACGGTGGACATGGACATTGCGCGTGCGCACTAGAGATCGTGACAATGCCAATCCGGCGTTTGTAAGGTGCACTGTGAAGTTACGAACCGAAGAAACTGAAAAATGATTTTATTCAAGGTCAGTTTTGAATTAAATTTTATATTTATGTGTCATTGATATTTATAATACGACAAATAGTTGTTCATTTTTAAAAAAATCATGCAAAGTTTAATATCACGTTAAATAAATAATATCATACGTGAATTAAACCTGTTTCTATTTCGCAACATTTCCAAACAGAAACCTTCTGTGAATACATTACGAATATTCCAGAAAATAAGTACTGTTGTCGAGAATTTCAATAAAAGTGCCAAATACGGAAAGCTTCGCCTTCTTGGGCGTTCTCAAATACCTTATTTTACAAATAAACAAAATTAGCATATTAGATTATTTAATGAATGTTAAACGTTAGACTTTAAGACTATTTTAATAGGTATAAAATTCCTGAAGATTTTATTGACAAGCTTTTTCTTAATTAATTAAGTTAAGTTAAGTATTTGTTAGCCAAACATTATTTGTATTTGTTTGTTTGTTTGTTATAAACTTATTGAAAATTAAAAATAATATTTTTATAACGACAGTTTAGATTTAAATATTTATGAAAGAACTCGGTAAATATTTTTTCAATTAAACAATTGTTTTCAAAGTAAGTACTACAGTAATAAGCCTTAAAGCTGTAGAAAATATTAATTAGTCGTAACTTTTACTGAAAATATAATTTTAAAATAATAATAGCATGGTCAATTAAAATGTTTAGTAATAAAATGGAAAACCCTTTAATATACGACTTTCTTTTAATAAGCAGTATTTCCTTTTCTTCAAACTTCACAGCTACGAAATACTAATCAGTTTTATTGATAAGTATTATAGAATAGAGTTGGGAAAGAGTTCAAAATGTGTATAGAATCGAACAAAAAGTTCAAAATTCTGTTTCGCAATATTACCACATATGGTGTGGTCCAGTTTAAAATACATGCTATTATGTCTGGTGAAACGGCTCAGTTATCAGGTGCGGTTAATATTTTGCAACGTTATTTAATTTTACGCGATTCGGCAATTATATTGTAACTTGCATCTTTAATATTGGATTCCACGTTACGTATTGATCGTAAATCTCTCGTTCTATAAGTAGTTAGTAGATTTGGTTGTGGGTATACTTATAAAATTGACCGCGTCTACAAAATTATATATTAAAAACTGCCCTTAGTAACTTCCTTTCGCCTTAATATGGTTTTTTACTTAGCCTACCGTTTTAGCTACATACCAAAATATGGAAAATTTTGCTATGCTACCTCCTTGAGACTTTTCGTGAATAAAACCTACTAAATGAACTTAAATTGTTATTTTTTTTATATTATATATTTTTCTCAATAAAAACCTTCATCAGAGTTTAAGGAATAAATAAAAAATACTCAAATTGGTCCCGCCGTCTTCGTGTTTTGCGCTTATTTAGTTAGACTAATAAAAGTGGGGTTGTATAATCAGGTAATTAAAAAAATATTACTTAATTACACCGGCGAGTTTTCATTTCTGTGAGAAAATGTTTAAAGGATTCACTCTCTTGAATCAATTTGCAAATGAATAACTTTATTGTTTGAGGCTTTTGTAACTAATTGAAGCTTATACGTTACAAAATGAAAGAGAAAGGTAATCTAGAGTTATCAAATAACATTGATAATGAAAATGAATTTATTTTATAATATAAAATTAATAATTACCTTAAGTTCGAATATGCAACCATTTAATTAATTTAATGAAATTTATCTACATTTTAGTACTAATAATTAAAATGCATATAATATTATGTTACCTTTCCCCAACCCAATCCAAAAATGAATTACATATTCAACTCAATTATAAAAATAAAATATTCATCTCACGACAACAAAAAGACGGAAGTGGTTATAATAATTTAGTTTGTTCTACAAATCACTCTTGTCACGAAGGCAGTAAAATATTTAGAATAGTTTATTTCCTTTCTCTTTAAAAAAACATCAAAATTAAGGTAAATTAGTTATTTAAGGTTATAGTAAAAATTATTATAAAACTATGATTCTTCTGCTAACTAATTTTGAATAATATACTTATGACGTTCTAAATTCAAGTTCCAAATATATATTTTTTCCTTTTTTCCGGCCAGAGAGAACTAAGGATTCAGAAACTAAATATACCACGGACAATAACTTCCGTATGTCAAAATCCTATACGTTTTTGACATATGCGAGTCACACTTAGCATTAAGTCATAGTTCTTAACATCACTCTTAGAGTGAATATTTCTTTTTAATTATTAACTACATCCCCGACGAAAATATGTCGGCTTGTAAGACTCAGAAAACACTTGCCTTTAATAAAATAAGATCAGAATACCCGATGCAGATGGTAGATAAAATATGGCTATGTTAGCCCAAAGTCGATTTTTTATCTACCAAGCCTACAAAGTATACAAGTACAACGAAACATGCAATATCTTTAATAATTCACAATTAAAAAAAAATATTATTTTTCCCCTTTTATATATATTACAAAAACAATCACGAGGGACGATTATGAGTAAAGTCTATCCCCGTATTAAAAAAAACTGACTTAGTCGTTGCGTTCGTAATAATTAAATCCTCTCTCTTTTCATCACAGCGTAAACATAATTTGACAAAAAGAGACCAAAGAGTGAAGTAAAAAGAGGGCAGATTGATTTAGTTTTTATGAATAAGGAGGTATAATTCTATATAATTGTTACTCCTCGTAACAGATTTATGTCTCAGATACTCGTATCAAATCGGTAACTTAGTGATCACCTTTTTACCACGTCAATTTAAAAAAGTAATCATTTAAAGTAGCCGCAATATAAAGTGTTAAAGGTGAACTTTGATGGATTAAATTTCGATTACTTCTTATCTAAATAATGATCAAATAACACTTAATTATATATTGTATAGACATTCTCACGATCGCTTCCGTTGTCACGCACTAGTTTTATGCTTGGCCGTGGGTTAATATTTTTAGATACTTTCTTGTGAAAGGGGAATATAATAATAAATAATACAAAATTGTACTAAATTCTTTACTCACATTGCAAGACATTATTATAAGTATAATACTAAATGTTTATAATATAACTAAACATGTTTGTTCCTTAATCCTATTGGTTGTATTAATCGTACGTTGCCTCGTAAACAATTTTTATAAGTACTTATACGTAATAAATTATTGCATAACCACAGCGGTTAGCTATCACCTAAAAGTTAATTTGGGTAGCCATTAAATCCGCAGATTACATCTCCGTGTGGAATCATGTGGAATGCAATTAGATAATCGCGTAAATAAGAGTAAAAGCTACGATCCCTTTTACGAATGCCTTCGCTACAAACCAGTTTCGCAAGTGCATTTTTTACCGCTCACCTGTTTACAACGGGCATAGGCGCACCTTTGGTATATTAGTGCAGTGACCAGAACCGGACATCCTAAAATTCCGCTTTTACTTTCAGATATACGCTGTCGCTTTGCTTGTAGCGGCCGCGATAGCCGATAAGAAAATAGAACTTGAAGATATCGAAGAGGATAATTTGAAAAGTGAAAGGCAAACGGAGTACGAAAAGGAACGTCCTCAAGGACCCAGTGCGGTGTCCGCACCTGATTTGGGATATCTGAAAAATAATTTCATTCAGTATTACGATGCACCTTCGCCGACAACGCAGCACCCGCGTTACGTGCAACAGTACGCTGTTACTGAATCACCTGAAGCCCAATCGAAACCTCAGTATGATCAACATCAACCAGTAGGCTATATATCCAATGTGCCTATGCTCTACATAGTACCACAATACTACAACGAGCAGATACCACAAGCACAACCTCATGGCACACAATATGCTCCTTCTGGACCTCAAAACAGCTACCCAACTAGCCCCGAACAGCAACAACAACAAAATTATGTTGTCCCGACTTTTATTACTCCGACCGGGAATGCACAAGTTCCAAGGTTTATTCAGCCCTACACAACTCCAGTGGCATTCATCGGTTATCCACAGCCAACACTTCCACCGCCGCAGCCTAGTGCAAGCCCACCACAATCATACCAAACATACCAAAGTCCTATAGCTAATTACCAGACAGCGCTGGTAGCGCCACCTTTTAAAAATTACCAGCAGATAAATCATTATTCTAATTCCATTGACCAAAATCACGGCCAAGGATTTTCATCTCAAGCAGAAGGTCCGTATGTACCCCACCAAGAATATCCAAGATATTATAATTCAAGGGCTCCAGTAAGAGATGATTATAGAACATCTATTGAGTTGCCTCATCCAAGTCCATTATTATTGAAACCATCGCCACCACATTTATCACATATACCGAAGGCTTTGCCAACATACCGCCCCTTGTCAAAACCTATATACGCAACAAGTGGGCCACTGATTTCTACCGCTTTCACTCCTAAGCCCGCTGAGGCGTATGGAGTTCCATTTAAAAGGAGACCGACGTCTTTATTGGAATCCTATATCCCATCAAGCGTGCAACTAGAGTATTTGAAGAGAGGTTACACCAAAAACGCATTGTCAACTTACGAGGCATTGTCGAGTGGCCGCGGTTTTCCCCAAGTTTATCCCACACCAAGATATTATGAACGTGGTTTTCTTCCCAATCAAATGTACCACACCGCAGCTGGTGGTGTCACTTTTGGCCAACATAAAAGAGCTCCAAAACTATCTAAGTAATGATAAATTATAGGATTAGTAAGTCATGCATAAAAACCCAAATAGAATTAACGGATAAACTTTTCCAACTAAATGTTCAAAGTAATTGTAGTACAACGATTGTATAGTGTGAAGAAGTAATCCCAAATGGTTTGTGTATATTTATTAAACATAGTTTTATTATGTTCAAATACATAAATGGAAATTAAAAAATGGAGCTATTCAAATTTGATATCGAACAGTATATTAAACATAGAGTATTTTTTTGAGGAACTTAAAAACCCGAAAGAGTAGTTTTTCAATTTGTCTATTTTTAGAATGTACAAGTAATTAGGTATTTGAATAACCTTTATGTATTCGGACAGTCATTGTAAATACTCGTAATAGGTTAAGTGTTGTTTTGTAGTAATTTATATTGTAATCCTTATATTCATAAAAGTTAAACCAATTTTATTGTTTTAGGTTTAACGAACGTTCGTCTCTCGTTGACAAATGTCAAAGATCAGTGTTTTAGCTAATAGTTCGAAAATAAAGAATAATTTTAGTTTTTATGAATGTAAAAATTTCTTAACACTCTTTTAGTTAAAGAGAATTTTCCATTGGTCAGTATTTTGTTACTAATAAAAATATAGCAGAAAGTGTTGTTTTACTTCGCTTTCAAATATTTTTTAAAAGAAAGTTTCGTTTCGACTTAATTATCCTCATTATTACGTAATTTTTTTTGCGAAATAATTATATTAAATTTCTTAAAACTACCACAATTATTTGTGTCAGTGATTTTTTATATCTTAAAAGTGAAAAAGTTTTAATGCATTAATTAGAATCTTTGTTTTATTCGAGTTATAGGTATACATTATATTTAATTGGAAAGTAATAGACTTCGAGGCCTTTGTCTATGTAAATACAAACAATAAAGAATTGTTAAATTTGGATACATTTCTTTTTCATTTAATTTATAATAATAAAAATAATAACTCTAGCGTGATTTAAAAAATAAGCCCATAAAACGTTGAATCTAGTTCGATTTAATTATTCATTTATAAACATTAATAATAAAGTTATGTTGCTTTTTAAGCAAATGCATTAAGGCACTGGACACATGGACACATGAAAAAGTTATACATATATGCTAGATAATAAAAAAAATATGTATTAAATGTCAAAGCAATAATTATTGATGGACAATTTTTGTGGCTTAACGTGACTCATCTGTTCGAATTCCTAAAAAATAATTGTTATGGGTAGGCTAACAAAATATAATTCAACAAAACATGCAGAACACCATTATATTTCAGAAAAATTTTGAACACACTCCAACATATTTTATATTTATTTAAAGCTGCTTTAGTGCCATCTATTTCTTGAGATGGGAATTTAGTATTGAGATTAAACATAGCGCGTTATGTTTGATATATACGTTCACTTTTATAATACTACCGAGTGTTTTAATATACCACGAGAGGGCGCTGTTAACACACGTATCAAAAAATGTATTAATTAAAAGCTTTTTAATATGTCGGTAAACTCATTAAGAATTTATTATAGGTATTTAAATAAACTACTAATAAACAATTGCAACTGTTTTTTTATTATGTCTAAAATGAGTTTCAAACTAAAATTAAGGAGCTTGCTTTTATTTTATAGAAACATATTTTTGCGATCACGAGGCATTAGATAACATGCAATTTTCTCTTTTTCCAGTTAATTTAAATTTAAAGTAGATACTAACAAGACATTTGCTATTAATTCCTGTTTAAGATCATAATTTTATACTTAATAAACATAATATATGTTCATGAAAGAGGTGTTATCCAATAAAACGCATTATATATCTGTTGTTATTTCCTGTATTTTGTCGATTAACCGTATGCATTATATAATGAGAAAATATTTTTCTAAACACTAAAACGCTTCTTTGGTGATGCATATGGATTACATGAATTAATTATTTAGGTTTTCTGTAAATTAATTAGGATTTAGGTTAAAATATTATAAAATTTCACGAGGTGAAAAGGTTATAAATATGTATTTTTAAAATGTGCTAATCTTAAGTCTTCATTGATTGTTCTATAGCTAAGGGATGCATTTGCTTTATAATCTCGAGGTCCTAGGTTCTATTCTCCGAGAATACATTAGATATTTATATAAAATATCAAGGTCACGCCTGAGTATAGTTAAAATAAGAAAAGTTTTATAGATTTATGATTATTTTAGAAATAACGTGGATAAGGCTTTAATATCGTTGCTCTGCTGGTACTTATACAAATGGTCTATACGTAATAAATACACACACTCACTTTCCCTACGCTGGCTCTGCCTCTCTTGACCTCAAAAGTCTCTTGGCCTTTGAAAGAGCCTTACAGCGCTCCCTGTCCTATGCTACCTTACCCTAACGTTATTCAACATAATTTAATTTATAATTTTTTTTGCTTTAAAATAATTTACTGTTGTACGCTCCAAAGTCCAAATATAGACATATCATAGTAGTATAGTATAAATTATACGAGTGTAGTTTAGCAGACTAATTTATATTACATAATACAGAAATTAGAAATTCTACTTCCTTTTTTTGCAGTTTCATACTTCTTATGTCCATTTCCGTAATTTATTCACACACAAACAAACTAGCTGCTGTGGTCTCTGGCAGAATGACCAGCGCTGTGGAACAGTCTGCTCCTCAGCATAATGCTGAGCCAGGGCCAATTACAACCACAGCACATACGCATTTCACACTTGAAACGAACCGAAAGGGAAAAGGAAAAAAAAACGTTATCTCTCATTATATTTTTTTTGTGTTATTATGTGTGTTTATGTGTGAATTTTTTTGTTAGTAATAAAGCTTATGTAATGTCTATGTCTAATAAGATATGTTTGTGAGCGTTTTTTATGATAACATACAGATACAATAACATTTTTTTTTATACCAATGAATAAAATGATTATAAATCAGTTCGAATCTAATTTAAAAATTTAATCCATGCTTCAAACAAGACCATTGTAAGCATATAGTGACTCTGAATCCTGAAGTCGCCTTTTAACACCTGCTAGAACTAATTCGACTATCAGTGTACATGGTGAAGGAAAACATCGTGAGAAAACAAAAGCCCCAAAGACCCAAAACTATCACCATACTGTACCTTGCGTCATCGATCATCACAAATCTTAGACTAGTTAAGGAGTAGTAGACACTAACTGAATCCAAATAGTAGGAGTTATAAATCCCTTTGACCAGATGTTACTTTACAGTTACCTAACGTGTTTCAAAAAGATTTCTCCATGACAATATTCCTAATGATCCCATCAATCATTCATAATAATAGATCAGCGAAATAACTAGAGCACCTGATTACGATTAATTCACGTTGCGTTACATAACATTACGGTCATTTAACGTGATGTGAGATCGCACTCATAAATAATTCAAAGAAAACATCTCAACGGTTATTACACCCGAATTCATGCATGCTAAACACTTGTCTCAGAAAGTGAAAACCACGCGTGCGCACATGATTGAAGGATCGAAGAAGCAAGTTGTTTCACAAATCAATTGTATGTTCTAAGTATCTCATGAGGGTGAAGTTTATATAAAAGGAATTAATAGGAAAAAGGAATTGCTTTTTATATTAAATGTTGATTGAGCTATGATATAACAATAGAAATTGTTCTATTTAATCATAGTAACTAGTCGGTTACTCCTTATATGCATGGGTGTGTGTCGTCTGTATATTATTTATTTATTACGTAATCCTACAGCTTACATAATACAAAACGATTATATAATACTTACTTATGCCATAAATACTGAAACAAAGAAAAAAAATTGTTTTCTATTGCAAATAACATCTAATACTTTTACAGTGTGTTAGTTTAATACATAAATATAAAACAATTTAAAATAAAAAATAAAAAAAGGGTCCGTGTACTTATGTACGCGCGTAAGAAGTTATACTTCTTTGGCAATATTAAAAATAGTTTAGCTTTGTTCCACCTCCAGTTTTTGATGTTTCACAGCGATAAGATGAAAACTCTTTTTTTGTATTCAATTTAGTGCAGTTACACTGATTCATCAATTGTTTTTTGTCTCTTTTCCTTATATTTGCTAGATAAAATCAGAAAAATTACATGTTTTGATTAAACAATGTGGTTAATTTTTTAATCAAAACATTACTCGATAATAATAATAATACATACGGATAGTTAACCTCAATTGTATTGAAGCACTTAGGAAGGTTGATGAGCACAGTTTTTTCACAAATATTAATTAGTATTGGTTTAAATATTCAATTTAAATCACTTCTGATTATAATTCAAAAAGCATCGCTAAATTTCTTTGAAAAAATAATTAAAACTCCTTTATTTGTTTAAAAGGTAAATGACAAATGTCATTATGGTTATTCAAAATTGTTGGCATACGAACTTCACGCATATTCTATTTCTTTTTACTTGTAGATTGTCTTATTCCTATCTCGCTCGCGCACGCTATAATCACACTCCTAATTTTGTGTCACGGGTGCGCGCGCATTGTAAAATTTCACTCTCATAAATTTTTCATAACGCGCCTAAAGAAGTATAACTTCAAAAACCTCGAAGTGGTCTCCATTGACTGCAATACAGTCCTTTAAACGTTGAGGCCAGTTATCAATAGAAGCACGCACTCTTTTTACATGGGAAAATTGTTCACTGCAAATCGTACGGATTGTTGTAGGGACTCCAAATTATAATGGCGTTTAGAGCAAGCCGTACTCTCTAAACTGACTATAAATCCATTAGGGGAAAAGCCGGATAGTTGCCCCACTTTTCGAAAAAGCTTTATATTTTTTAAATATGAACTTGCTGAAAATTATTCAGTATGTATCTCGCAACATAGGTCTTTTATCTTCTATAAAAGCCTATTTTTGTATACATAATTAACAATGGTTTTGAATAAATACCGTTTTATTTCACTCTCAGAAAAGGGATAGTTGCCTACTATGGCGGATAGTAGCCTAGCTAGAAAATGCATCGGGGATACTTGCCTCGTG